AATGAAGACCCATGTGGTGGTGTGAAAATATACCCAGAAACAATCGACAAATTGTCGAGTGCAACCCCATCTGTAAAAGCACTTTCGAAATGACTTCGATAAATCTTTACTGCATAAACCTTTTACTTCTGCTTGTGTACCTTTTACACGGCATATTGTACGAAGTATTGGGAGTATCTCATAGATGGCGCTAACGAATCATCAAAACCAATACATGTAATTAAATTGTAAAATCACCGACACCGAAAACACCCAAATCTCGACAACGACTGAACCAATTTTCGGTTTATGGTGATGTATTACAATAAGCGTGAATTAACATTTAATGTTTTTTTCATTTAAATCATAATAATAATGTTCCCTTGCCAGGGAATACGCTTCTCCCATAAAAAAATATCTTTTAGACTGTAGGAGACGCGAGAATCTAAACTAGACATCCAAAATAATAATAATGTTTCATGTAAACGAGAACAAATATCCATTCAAACATTTAGATGACCTCGGTGACTTAACGACTTATGCTGTGGACGCTGGATGAGGTCCCAGGTGCGATTCACAGTAGGACCAATTTGAGAAATGAACTTTTCTGAAGTGGTTATGGTCTGGGTGTCCCAGGAAGTACCCCAGAGTGAATTCCGTTGCTATGGTACTCATGGTATAGGGAATTCCCTTATTTGAGAACAGGCAAATGGTGTTCTTGTCTGGCTCAATTACAGAGAGAATAAGTAACCATTGAATACGAGTCAGTAGAAAATATCTCTATGTGCTTGCTGCAGGTCTTTGCTGTTGTAACGTTTTGTAGTAGCAATAGAGCTCTCGTGAAAGAGTTCGTCCAGGGAAGTACTGCCACCTTAAGTTCTGCCGCCAAGTACTAATGTCAGCATTATTGTGTTCCGGTTTAGAAGGGTAAGGGTGCTGGTGAAATTACAGGCACATGGGACTTGTCAACATATGTGTCAGGGTGACGGGTGCAGTGGTAGTGCCCCTCAGATCTTTGCAATTTAAAGCTTTGAGTGGTACTGTAACTGTTATGGACAGGCGTGTAATTTGCCATCAGGCGCACGACTTGTTCGTCCCGTCACATGATGTTATGGTAATTGTTATTAACCGACTTCAAAAAAGAAGGAGGTTCTCAATTCGACTGTATGTTCTTTTTTCTTTTTTTTTTTTTGGTTTTTTTTTGTAAGTATGTTACGCGATAACTCCGGTATTTGTGAACCGCAGGCTTATTACCGAACTTTAGCAACCGGTTGTTAATTGTACAATAGCAACGCGATTGCTACCAGTTGCGATTGCTAAGTTGGTATTACGGTTCGGTAATACGAAAAAGCAACCGGTCGCTTTCTGTCAAAGCATTTTCATGCAGTTTTAGTTTATTAGTTGCTCGCGGGAGGCGCTGTAGTCGACTGGTCGCAATTGTTCGTTCCGTAATACGAATTTATGTTTTGACAGCGATAATCGTGCAACTATTGCTAAAACGACTGGTCGCTAAAGATCGGTAATAAGCCTGCCGGTTTTCATGATTCTTTTTTTGTTGGAAAGGGGGTACTTCCATAGTGATCCCATTTCATTTAGAAGGAAATCATCCACCTCTAAGGGTGGCTGTTCACGCATGAAGATTCATTTTTATAAATAGCGCCTATATTTTCTTAGAGGAGCAAGTGAGAATCGATTTTTATTATCTCCAGTGTCAAGTCCTGTATAGTGGCGAATTTAAGGATATTTCAATAAAACTTAGCAAATAGACGTAATTCCACGTACTTTT